CCACTAGCCTGCGATGCACCCATTTTGGCCGCGGCCTTCACATCCTGCGAAATAGCCTGCGAAATCTCCATGTCCAATTCATCGTAACACCATCGCGGGCATCGATATTCTGCTACGGTTGCCTGCGGTGACGTCGCGGCCATCTATATCCTGCTACGGTTGCCTGCGGCGACGTCACGACCATCTTTAGCCTGCTACAGTTGCCTGCTACTGCACTACTCTCACTCCTTTGGACTTTTTGTGATTCTTTAGGCTCCAAATCATCATTGGCACTACTCCAAACCTAATAAGGACATATGAATGTAATATGGACCTAAAGATGCCTAAACCTAAATCTATATGATGATTTATGTACAAAATGAAATGTTAAAACTATGTAAATATGCATCATATCACTTAGTCATAAGTCGTCCAATGAGGTCATTTTTGCAATTGAAATTTAAATGGGACGACTTAATTCTAAGTCGTCCAGATTTGTTTGTTAAAAAAAACACCAGACGACTTATAATTAAGTCGTCTAGGTTAAACGGGCTACTTTTGCATTTGACCGAATTGTGTCAGATATTTGACTTTTTCTGGACGACTTACAATTAAGTCGTCTCTGGGAAAGTTAAAATTTCAATATTTTATTAAATATAGACGACTTACGGATAAGTCGTCTTAGGTTAGTTTTGCAATTCAAAATTAAAAATTAAATTTTTAACTTCTCCAGACGACTTATTTGAAAGTCGTCCGATCAGAGGACTTATGTTAACGTCGTCCAGGATAAGCAAGGTTTGACCAGAAAACTCGGAAAATATTCTGGACGACTTTCCTTATCCTGGAAGACTTTAACATAAGTCGTCTGATCGGACGACCTTCAAATAAGTCGTCTGGAGAAGTTAAAAATTTAAGTTTTAATTTTGAATTGCAAAACTAACCTAAGACGACTTATCCGTAAGTCGTCGAGATTTAATAAAATATTGAAATTTTAACTTTCCCAGAGACGACTTAATTGTAAGTCGTCCAGAAAAAGTCAAATATCTGACACAATTCAGTCAAATGCAAAAGTAGCCCGTTTAGTCGTCTGGTGTTTTTTTTCTAACAAACAAAGCTGGACGACTTAGAATTAAGTCGTCAGTTTGACCAGAAGACTTATTCGTAAGTCTTCTACATCCAGATGACTTACATGTAAGTCTTCTACGCGAACAGTTCTGGAAAAAAATTCAATTTCATACCTTAAACTAGGTGAGATGACTTCCTTTGCACACAGAGTCTTCTCCAACCACCCAGAATTAACCCACCAAGAATTGTATGCTTAAATGGCTCTATCAACCATAAAAATTTTACTATCAAAAGCTTGGGTTTTTGGTATGAATATGGAGACAAAGTGAAGGAGATGTTGTTTTTAGTTCATAACAATTAAGAAAGAGAGTATGGATATCGATTTTAAATGCATTAAAAGCTTCAAACCTTGGTTGTACAAGGTTGTAGGGTTGTATAAGGTTGTTGGGAATATTCATGACAATGGCAATGTTGTAAATACTTGAAGATGATGAGGTTGAAAGAGTAAAAAGACCATTTTTGGAAACAAATTCAAAAAAAATTTATGGTATTTTCGTAAATAAAATGAAGATGTGGGGTGAATAGGACAAAAACAAGATGAGTCAAAAGAAGAAGTTAGTTTTGTGTTTGACTTTGAGTTTTGAGTCAATTTTGCAAAACCCCCAAGAATAGATGTTAAAGTTGATTTTTTAAACACAACATGGAAATATAATTTATCTTACAAAAATAAATTTTCTACAGTTAGACTAAATAAATTTTAAAAATTTATTGTATGTATGCAAATTGTAGATTTGTTTTTTTTTTTAATATTAAAAACGATATTTTCTATTAACTATTTCAGATTATAAATTTCATGTATTGTACTTGAAAATATATTAATATGTATGAAATACATAAAAATCATTATACATTAATAATGTAGAATAATTAAATAAAAAGTATAAGACAAAAATATTATATATTAATAATGTTGACTAAAAATAGAGTATAAGATACAAAGTTTTGAAATATATAACACTAAAATGTAAATTATATATTAATAATATTTCTGGTGGAGCCCGAGCGGAAATACAAGAGGTATGCACTGGAAATCATGGGATAAAATATGTATGTGAAAAGACAAAGGAGGTATGGGTTTCAAGGATATCCTGGATTTTAATACGGTTATGCTAAGAAACCAATTTTGGCATTTGACCGACAAACCAATTTTTTTTTTTGTTTTCTCGCATGTTTAAAGGACCGTATTTCAGGAATACCTCACCCCTAATACCGATCCATTCGTACTCTCCATCCTATGGATGGCACAGTATGGTGTCTGCGAGATATCTGGTTAGCAAATGACTAATCAAAAGGGTGGGATCAATATCACCTATCTCATTATGGAATGATTCTTGGCTCTCAACCACTCGCCCGAGACCAGCAAAAAGTAATAATCAACATCTCTGTCCAAATCTCATGGTGGATTCTCTTATTAATTCAACGTCATGAACATGGAATTTTCAAGTTATTTGGTCATTGGTGGATCCGGACGAAGCAAATATTATTGAAAGTATACTGTTAAGTCAGCATAGGCTAATGGATCAGGATGGATGGCATTTCACTGTAAATGGGAAATATAAAGTTAAATCAGGATACCAGGTAGAGAGGATATACCCAGATAGGGAAAAAATAGTGCCCATGTATGGACCTACAGTTACCGCTTTAAAAGCCCATGCTTGGAAGATTCGATGTCCACCAAAGATGAAACACTTTCTCTGGAAGATGGTATCAGGTTGTATCTCATTAAAGAAAAACTTTCGAAGCAGAGGTGTGCAAGGGGATGTGCAGTGTGATAAATGTGGAGCTGGTGAGGAATCAATTAGTCATGTGTTTTTTGAATGCCCTCCGGCAGTCCGAGTGTAGGCTCTCTCCAAAGTACCATCGCATCCAGATATATTCCCTACGCATGCGTTTTTCACCAACATGGACTACCTTTACTGGAGAACATCACCGCATATGGAAGATCATCAATTTGTATGGATTATATGGTATATTTAGAAATGACGGTATAATAAAGTATTCAGTAACATTGATGTCGATCCGAGAGACACTCTCCAATTGGCAGAGACAAAATTGTTACTCTGGGCAGAGGTTCAAATTCCAGTCACTCTCAAATTCCAGTAACATTGATGTCGATCCAAGAACCGCTCTCCAATTGGCAGAAAGCTTTGAATGTTTGTTGATGATGATTTACGGTATATAAGGTTGAAACTGGGGGTTTACCTTGTTGATTTCCTTTTTGAAGGCTTTTGGTTTGGGCTTATTGGCGAGATAACCATATTTCAGTGTGAAATTAGGTGAGTGACATTGATTTTGACATAATTAAATGTCAGACATTTTGATCACATTTTCTCTGGTTCTGCCCTTTCATGTAGATGGTTGATAGTTGAAGTTCTTAAATAAGCAACGTGGTTCTTTTTGTGACATAACTATACAAGCACATATTTGAACTCTAATTAACACATAAAACGTAAGAAAATATTGTGACACGAGTGGATAATAGTTGTACACGTTACACAAGTTATGTTAACGTAAGAGACAAAGGAAGTTACATGAATCGCTATTCTATATGACAAAATAGTATAAATCTCGGAATGCACTGGACCTTATTAACTAAGAACTAAACACTACATGGAAACGTAAACCGTAATACAACGTAAACCCAGAACTTCCTTAAGATATAGTGCATGAAAAGTTAATGATTACTAGACTGAATGTATATTATTCTATCTCGGTTACGCATATACTATTTTATCTCTGTGATATAGTACATCATCCAAACCTCCGTTGGAAACTATAAACCCAAATACAAATCTGTAAATTGTTTTCGATATTTAATCCAAATATAATTTTTAAATCAAAATAAAATAAATGTCTATGATTACATAGAAAAATTTAATGCTCACCCCAATTATCCTATTCACCTTCTAAATACTATTCTATATCGTCGAAATAGTATAGAATTATAACCCTCCCCCCCCCCCACATAATTACCACAAACATATTCATTTTACATACCCTTCCCTCCAAATACTAAACCCTAAACCTTAATTACTGAATCCTAAACCCAACACAATACTCTTAAATGTTAAACCAGACATAACTTTGGATACTAAACGCTAAACTAATATCACTAAACCCAAACCTCAACCCCCACCTTCCAACTACTAATCCCTTAATCCTAATCACTAATCTCTAAATCCAGTATAGACCCTAAACCCAAATAGAATGGAATAAAATACATAGAATGGTATATCATCAAATGGAACGATACATGATAGGGTCACTAAACCTCAACCCCCACCTTCCAAAGTACTAAATCCTAAATCATAATCACTAAACTCTAAACCCAAGCATAAACCCTAAACCAAAATAGAATGGAACAAAATACATAGTATAGTAGGTATTGGTGAAAAAATAATACATTCTTTATTAATCGTCAAATGGAACGATACATGATAAAAAAGTATAGTAACCGACTATTTTGCATTACATAACATGAATTAAACATTCATAATAAATATTATTTTACATTTATATTCCATACACATATAATAGAATAGAACACAATGTTACAAAAACTGTTCATCTTCTCCAATTAATTCTAGGTCATTCACAGCCAAAAAAATAAGTATAACTGGCGACATCCGTAGGAATAGTACATGTAACCACCTAGTAAACCAAAGAGATTAGAGAAGTTGAAGTAAGAGTTGAAGAACCTCGCGGCAGTCCCGTTTACGTTGTCGGCAACTCCATATATTTCAGATGCACGAAGCTTCCCGTCCGTAGCCAAGCGAGCCATTGCAGATGGGTATCTCCTAAGCAAAAATATTCCAGAAAAAATCTTGGTGGTTACACAATGGATCAATAATGCGGAAGAAACCACTCACGTTATACAAGTTATGTGATTCTACAAAGGCCACACTATACATGTGTTAGGTAAATACGTACTATTAATTTAGTTTTTTTTTTGTTTACAAGTTTTACATAGATTAGTATTATTATATAAAAGATGGATGGTGTATTGATGTATTAATTGGCTATTTTGTCAATTATACTTTTTTGTGTCTATACGATCCAATTTCCCTTTTGTTATTCACTGTATGATCTTTTTTATTTTTCTGCTGACTTTTTTTTGTGTAGATTTTCTGTAAATACACCTAAGAAAAAGGTTACTCTGTATACCTAAACTGGGAGATGTTTGAATGAATTAACTTGGTAGTCTTCCAAGATCCAGTCATCCAGAGCCACTATTTCCTTTGATTAAGATAACATTGAGAGAGAGAGAGAGAGAGAGAGAGAGAGAGAGAGAGAGAGAGAGAGAGAGAGAGAGAGAGGAGGGACCGTGAGACATGTCCGACCAGAGGGAGAGAGCTTCGCTGACAGAGAGAGAGAGGCACATGAGTGAGAAAGAGATCTGGCGGTGAGAGAGGCAGTCCAGTGTGAGAGAGAGAGAGACGGGAGAGAGATATGAGAAGAGTTTGTATGACGGCTAAGAGGGAGTGAGTAGAGGGAACTAAGGTTTTTTCTTTTGATGGTTTATTTGTTTCAAGAGAACTAGGGTTCACGGTTTATTTTTTAGATTTTCAGTTTTAATTATATTTTTAATTTAATGTTTAATCGGAAAATCTAAAATTTCACTAAAATTTGAGCGGGAAACAATTGACTTCAGTGTAAAATCTTCTATCACTAAGGTTTTTGGAAGACTTATTAGAAGTCTTCAAACGTATAATAAAAAATAAAATAAGGTTCGGAAGACTTTTCAAAAGTCTTCTAGTACATTATAAGAAGTCTTCTAGAAGATTTTCTTAGAAGACTTTCCAACCAAGAATTTTTCCAAACCCTAAACACAAATTACTATTTGAATAACAACAATCACTTCATTAAAATTAAAATCAAATGATAAAATGTTTAATATATACAAAATTAAACACATATATGTCAAATTTAGTTTTTTCGCAAAAAATTAAGATTCCACAATCTAACACCAAAACACACAATTATTATTGTAACATATGATATTTAACCCAAAATCAAAGACTATCATGACTCAATTTACATTTACTTATCAATATTGAAAACAATTCAATTTTAATAAATCTAAATTTAGATCATTTACAAATTTTTATAATTACATGATTCAAATTTTTATCCATCAAATTTTTTTTATAAGATTTCTAAACCATTCTTAGATCTACTCTATGAGAAGACTTTCAGAGAAATCTTCTCGTAGAAAGAAAACTTTTCTGGAAGTCTTCTTATAGGCGGGAAACCTAAATTCTATTAAAATCTACGCAGGAAATGATAGACTTTGTTTTGAAATCTTCCAGAAAGTTTTCTAGTGCATTATATCTTAGAATATTTAAGTCTTGCAAACAAAAAAAAATAGCTTACTTAATTAAAAAAACACTTAATTAAACTTAAAATCAACTTATAAAGTATTTAATTCACACAAAACTAAATACATATATGTCAAATTTAATTATTAAGAAACAATTAAGATTCCAAAATCTAACCCTAGAAATACAAACAATACTATAACATATGTTACCAAACCCTAAACCAAATACTATCATGATCCAATCTACATTCACTTATCTATACTGAAAATAAATTAAATTTTAATAAATCTTCATTTACATCATTTAAAATGTTTATAATTACATGGATTTAATTTTTCTCCATCAAATTATTTTTTTCTAAAATTTTAAAATTACTTTATTGATTTACTGTATGAGAAGACTTTCACATAAATATTTTAAGGAAAACTTTCCCGGAAATCTTCTCACGCGCATGGTTATAATGGTAAAAATCAATACTATTTTTCTGTTTGGTCATGGGACTGTTTGTAATTTCACTAGCCTTTTAGGTTAGTTTTTAATTGATTAAAGTTGGGGTACACCTTTGCATTTAAAATTAAGTTTTGAGTTATATTTGACGAATTCCCCATATATTAATGTATATATTTAATTATTTGATATACATTAATCTACTTTGAATATAAATATACATATATGTTTATATTTTTATATAAATAATTTACTTTTCAATGTGCTTTTTTATTTTACAAATTTAATTTTTAATTTTTTTAAATTAAATTTGAGATTTTAATATTTTTATTTCGGTGTAGTTGTAATATTCGTATATATAATAAATATACAAATAAAATATAAGACACTATTATTTCGTATGAAAAATATTTTTAAATAAATGAAATCTCTTATTATGAACGTACCAATAGATAATCAATAAAATTTAATTCTTTGTTTTGAATGTAATTTTTAATGTTTACTTAAATAATATTTGCATTTAAATTTATTTAAAATACAGAAGTTTATATTTTTATATAATAACTGAAATTTGATTTTGTCCCAAAAAACTTGAATTTTATTTGTTACTTAATTATTTTTATCATTTGGTTTTGTTATTTAAAAATATGTACATAAATATTATAGTATTGTAAAATTTAAAATAAATTAATATTAATTTATAATATATTTAATAATAATTATGAGCTTAATTATTTAGTTGACCAAACATAAAATATATTTAGAATATTATATCATAGTAAAATAGGAAACATTCGGTTGAACAGTATGTATCAACAGCATTTTCCAGTACAGAAGATTATATCATAATAAGATTATCAGTATGTATCAACAGCATTTTCCACGGTACGATATTCATGAGTTTTTCAGTTATTTAAAATATAATCACTTAAATATACTTTTATAATAATTAAATTTACGTATTTTTTTTTAAAAAAAAGTAAGCTATTAGAGGCTGAAACATAGTTAACTGAGTATCAGAGGGTATTTGAAAACTTCTTATCTGATTTTTTAACTTCTTATTTAATATATATATATATATATATATATATTTTATTTGTCACAGTTACTTTATATTTTTGTTCTAAGATATTCAGTGAAAGCTATCACTTAGGTAAAGTTAGGAATTTTAATCATTATTCTGGGGTCTCGCCCCATTTAACTCGCAGTGGGACGGCGGCGAATCAAACAATCTGAAAATTCTGAATTGTGGGTGTGGGTGCGGATTAAGTTTATTTTTGTAGGGCGGATGTGTATCAGTTGAAATTGAATTGCGGATACACATAAAATTAAAAAAAAAAGTTTTGTTCTTCAAAAAACTATTCTTTCTAAAAATGATTTTTTTAAATAATTAAAATTACGAATTAAAATATATCTAATTTTATTTTAAAATATATTTAGAAATATTATTTTAGTATTATTAATACTACATGTGGGTCTTGCGAATTACCCGCAAAATTAAGTGGGACATGTGCGGATTAAGTATTTTTTCTTAACGGGTCAAGTGGATCGAGATTTGTTGAAATAATGGTTTCGACCCATTAGTGAGCAAAGGTTGAAACTGTTCGTCATGACGTTTCAAGGCGGTAAACCTTTCTTATTTGCGTTAGAACTTAACGTCTCAGTGTCATGGGATTAACATTAACTGCGTCTAGTGGCGAGTTATATAATTTTGTGGTCGCTCTCAAAGATTGTTAGACGTGAAGATCCCTTTTTGTTGTGATTTTTGGGTGGTAATCTGGTAGATAGAGAAAGCGAATGTAAAGGAGAGAGAGAGAGAGAGAGAGAGAGAGAGAGAGAGAGAGAGAGAGAGAGAGAGAGAGAGAGAGAGAGAGAGAGAGAGAG